GGTCGGCCCAGGGGGGCCTTTCCCACAATGACATACGGTATACGTGTTTGTTGCCTTCTACTAGTTCAATGATTTCGATTTTTTTGTTTTCTCTGAGACAAAGCTGTCCCACCAAAAGAAGCCGACGGGATTTGAGAACGATCCCGTTCAAACAGCTGATGTGAGGCAAGTAGGAGATCCAATTGCGACGTCGTTGCGTTTGTTTCGGTACAACCTGAAGCGCAACCCACGGTTGATTAGCATGAAACACACTGGCTTGACGAGCCCAACTGAACACGTTCAGCGATCCAGGTTTCGCGGGGATGTTTGACCCGATTCGTTTTGGACAGGTTGACAGTGATGAGGAAGACGAGCTGGGGAGAGATCCTTGCTGCAAGAGCTGGCATGGCATGGCTTTCTCACCTCCCAGCATGGAAATGCCGCTCTTTCAGTACTGGGAGCCATTGTCCTTTTGAGTCATGTGCTTGGGGCAGGTCACGGCTTTTCATCCATGACTGGAGGGAGATCCAAGTATTCGGCAGATTTTGCAGGACAGGTTAGGACATTCTGCACCAGGTTAGGACTGGTTTTTGCTGAGAAATCTTGTTTGTGTATCAGCGTTCCATTGCGGTTGGCTCCTGGGGGTGACTGGGAGATGACTTCTTGGAAACAGCGTTGCCATGGTGATTTGACATTGAAACAGTAGCAAGGGATGACAAGGCATGACTTTGTCAGGTTCCTGTATTGGCTAAGCGGCTATTGGGTGTTTGGAGCGACCATGTGGAACCAACCATAGCCACATCTCCCGTATCCCGACAGCAAAAAAGTGCAATCTCGTAAAAAGGGAAACCAGTTGGAGGCAAAGGGCCTAAACAAACACCAACCGGTATTTCCAAGCTGGATCCAGATTCAACATGATACAAGTCACAGGCCAGCCAAAATAGCTAGTTGCGCCCAGGAAGCGACCCTATGCTCGAGATTCTCTCTAATGCAGGAGCTGCCCTACCGGGGCGGCCGCGACATGGCATCGGCAAGGTCCAAGTGGCATTCCAAGCCGCGCATGGTTTAAACATGGGAGCATATACCATTTTGAGGTCTTTGACTGGTGATTCAGGTTCTCCGATGAGGATGGCTGGCCTTGATCTCTCATCTAGAACGTTTAATTCAGCCAGCTATATTCTGAGAGCCGGGCCTCAAACCTGGAATGCAAACAACTCTGTGGTATTTGCGAAGGTTTCGGAGAGTCGGAAAGCTTGACCGTAAATGAACACGTACCAGTACAGTTATATTCTGGTTCGCAAGAATGCCAAGACACAATGTATTGATCAAGACTTATATAATTTATACGAGTTCTTGAACTATTTTTTTAGAATCAACCATATTTAAGACATACTTTGATCTCTTCAGTTTCTTGTTCAGAACATAATCACTATCACACATTTTTTTTTGGCCTTCACACATATTTTCAGAATTGAATTCAGACATGCAACATTGTCTTTGGAGCGCTGACTCCAGTTAAAACTCTCTACTCTAATCCCATATCCCTGCCGAAACGCTAGACATCTCTCCGGTTTGTGACCCTGATGGACTGCACGAACCGGTGGGTAGGGCAGCTAAGCCAAGCTTCGCAGCTTGGCCGCTCAGTTGTGGCGGTCCGTGGGCATCAGATCGCCTTAGGTGTCCGATGGATCAAGTGCAACGCATACAACGAGCGTCAACGAGCCACCTGTGCCACTATGCAACCCCCGGTCGCCCTCTCATCCCCCAACTTATAACGCATTCCTCTTGCTTTCCGAAACCATCCGAAACCTACCTGTTGGGAGATCACGCCTCCCGCCTCCATTGCGCCGGTTCCACTCCGCGTCTTCACGAGGAGTTGGGCATCGGAAGTGGCGGAGCGCTCTTCAGCCTTTCGATGGCTGAACTTCTTCCCGATGACCTGGCGACCATGATCTTGGCCGCTCAGAGATGGGCAGGGGTGAGGGGAGTTGAATTCGGATGTGACAATGACATGTGACCTTTGGGAAATTGATGCTTTAAGGCTTTAAGTCCTTCCAAGAGACCAAATCAAAGCATTTGGAATCTGGCAGATGAGATGGTTCCGCATTTTGACTATGCGCATGGCTGCATGATGATGGAGCGGCATGCAACCAGTTTGTAGCCTATGTCGAGTTGAACGCATTCAGCTCAACAGCTGCGCCTCAGTCGCAGCTGTTGCTTTTGTCGCCCTGCTGTTTGAGAGCGAAACTTGAATGGTAATTGCTGAAGTAGGGCAGGATGCGATACCAGTGCCTGCCATAAAGAGCCGGAGAGCAATGTCCAGAGAATAATACGACACCATACGACACCCCTGAGCTGGACACGAGGGTTTCACGAAGTGATGAGACGGTTTGGTTGAACCGGAGATGCCCATGATTGGAGGAATGCCTATATAACAACACTGCTCGTCAGCATAGCTGGAGCGCAGTGCAACATTGGAATCATTATGTTCATACAACTTCCATCAGCTTCTTTAGGTTTGCTTCCCACTGCCAGGTTTCAGGTGTCGCTCCGCCTGTGCATAATGTGTATAAGTTTTCTAGTATCAAACAAACTGAAGTGCAATACAACTTGTTGCACGAATGTATGGCGCAAATCCTGTGCGACTGCTCACTGGAAACAGGTCCTTTGCATGTCGGAGAAGGACTATTTGACCTACCAGCAGCAAAGAACTGCAGGCCCCTCTGGGTTGTTTGACGTGTTTCTTTCTGTCTTGGGTTGGTTTTGTTTGCTTCGTGTTTGCAAGACATGTGGGTAAGTATGACTATGGCTTGGCTTTGACCACTGTAGCAAGCCCATCGACTACCATTGGAAGTACCCGCAGCAATCAGATGCAAGTAGCACATTGCTGAATGTGTTTCACGTTTCTTTCGCCTCGTCCGCACAGCGTCAGACCGAAAAGAAGACTGTAGCAGAGTCCCGACCGAGTCCCGACATGGCCATCTGAGCTGAGCTCGAGCAATATTATTGCCTCAAGTGCCGTTGACCCTCCTGTGATCTTCTGACCAAGCACTGGACAATGTCCGTTTCTGGCTTTAGAGTTTTATCGTGCTTTTCCCGTATTGTTCCATTGCTGTTTTGTTTAGAGTTTAAAGTGGATCCACCATTTGTAAGGTAGACCGGGGATCAATATATATCAAACGGTTCTGAATTCTGTCCATTTGTGTCCTGCAACTCCCCAATGAGGAATCACTAAGCAAGCAAGTCAAGGTTTTTGTCTCACCCGCGTTCGTGCTATGCCATTTCGAGAGCCGGGGGATGGTGAGCGCTTTCTGCTGTGCTCCCTGCCGACAATTCCTTTTGCATCGGTGACAAATCCTTTAGCCTTTAGCTAACTCTTCGCACGACAGGTGGTCAGCAAGCTGTGATCGACCTTGCTGGCGAAGAAGGCCACATCCGAAGTGTCAGGAACGATTTCCACATCCAGACATGCAATGACATGCGCCTTTACTAACCATCATGATCCACTGTTGCAGGTAATAGGATAGACCCAATGCATCCAGCCAAAGTCAGTCCAATTGAGGAACTCTGTGGGCGCAATAGGTGAGGAACTCTCTGAGCCTTTGTTGGCGGATCTCTATGGCTCCCTCCTGTGCCTGGAGACTCAGAGAAGGTCGGTCAGGTCGGGAGTGGAGGTCGAACAGGTCTGGTTGCATAGGCTGACCATTCTCAACAGAAGGAGTTTTGATCATGACACAAATAGCCGAACTGCCCCCACATTCTTGGGGTCATTCACGGAAGGCAGCGCATATGGTCATATATATGGTTCCCTATGTTCCCTGGTTCCCGAACCAGGATACTGTGTTTTGCCAGGGCCGCCAGGGGATACTATTCTTTCACCATCCTACTGTATCATCCTGTACACCTCTCCTCCATCAAGCTTTAATCAGGCTTGGTGCAGTGGCTCCGGCGCCGCTACGAAACCACCTTGGAAGAGGTCGGTGTGTGACCGAAGAAGAGACGGCTGTTTTTGTCGCAAAAAAACAAGGGGCATAGAAATCACATATGGTGTGAAGCAAATCACATCAAATCACACTCTACATCTAAGTTTCTATGTTCTTTGTTTTACTTGCCAGGTTTGTACTTGGAAACACAAAGCGTATGCTATTCGTTTCCAGTTCCATCACTGATATCCACAGGTTGCCTAAGACTCTTGGCTGAAGTGAGCGACCGCTTCGTGCTTCAAAAGCAGGCCAAGAGGATCCAAGAGGCATGTATCGATGATGGCCGCCCCACACTCCTGCCAGTATTGAAAACAGGCGACCCGCCTCTCCGTCTCGACACCTCACTGAAAAAGGCGTGAGTATGACCTGTGATGAGATACTGCTCACAACACCACTTTGCAACCATGGTTTTCTCCCTGCGGTGGGTTCCAAGCAGATGATTTGTAATGCTTTGTATAGTAACATAGTAGGATTTGTTTGGGAGATGTACAATTTGTTGTTCATATCCCCCGGCGCTGGCGCCAGGACATGAGGATGTTGGAAGAACTTCAATCTGAAGCAGCGAACTCCAAGGTCGGATGGGAACATTATGCGGGCATCGTTTCCACATTGGCGAAACATCACATCAAATCGCTTAACATCACATTGGCGAAACAACGCCGTGAACGACCTAGGGTCGATCTGCATCACTTGCGATCGAGTCGAACGATGAGTCGAGCGATGAGAAAAGAACGATGCAGTCAGGCGGACTGTGTCTGTGATGTTGTTTAGGCATCCAACTGGTTGCCTGGATGGCATCCATTCGAAGAAAACACGTTAGAACAACATGTCTTCGGAGCCATCCGGCCAATTCACCACCCAAAAAGACCGGCGAAGTCCCAAAAAGCTCTGGAGGCTTAAAATGCAAATCGGTTCAATGCAGCGGATGGTTTCCTGATGGCTTCCTTGTCTTAAACGTGCAGGGTTTTTGGATGTTGGCTGGGTCATGTTAGCTGGGTCCATGTTCCAATTGTGGCCGCTGTGGCCGTGGCATCTCAAAAGGATAGAAAACAATAGAACCGGCGAAGAGGGCCACCGGCGAGCCATGTTTCAGACGCTTTTGGGCGGTAGAGACAGTGGTACGTTCAGCAAAAGAATGTGTCTCGGCTCGACAGGATGGGGGGCTTGTGAACCGACTGACACAGGACCACAAACAGGAGAACCACTTCTTGGTTCCATTCCAAATAAGGGCACAAAGGGGAGGAGACAGGTGGAGTGACAGGTGAAAGCAGGTCGTAGGGGGTTGTCTCGCAGCAATTGAACAACCCTCCAATCTGTGGATGGTCTCTGGATCCGTTGCCCGGATCGGATGGATAGGGAGTTGGAGGCTGAGAACGTCACACACCCAGGTCCCTGTTTAGCGCTACGGAGGAGGACGAGATCGATTGCAGTTGCTTGGCCTGAGTTGATCAGTGCATGAAAAATTCTGGAGTGGGACAAAGATGGCTGACATTGGCAGACACTGGAGGTATTGACATTGGAGTCTTTTCTCCTCAGGGGGGTCTTTTGTTGTTTTCATTGGGGCCTATCGGATCGGCGGGGAAAGCAACCTAAAAGCAACCTGCTAGATGGTTCATGACACCTTTGAGGAGGCTCCATTTTTCGGGGGGTCCTGTTCAGCCTTCCACGTTTCGCCCCAAACAGCACCGGACCGACCTGGCCGGCAGAATTCCGGACCGACCTATCCGGGAGGGCCGAAAGAAGAGCGATGGCCTCCATCCTAGCAAGGATTGGGTAGATGGTCTCCAATAGCAGACACGGCCTTCATCCTCCAACCGGATTGGGCCGTCAGAACGGCGACGAACCGACGAAGCGACGAACCTGCGACCAAGGCAGCCTCCGGTTTTCCACAGAGGAGACGACGGTCCCGCCCGAAGGCGGGAGAAACAGCGAAAGACGAGGATGCAGAAGGTGGTGGAGGTAGAGACTGCAATTAAATGAAGGATTTTTGCAGACTATACTGAGTTATGCCGATTTCGACGGATTTATACTGCTTTCGTCCAGTGGCAAAGTAGCCAATGCAAGCATCAAGGCACAGTTCGCCCCGGGTTGGGGTGGGGTTCTCGCCGTAGTCTGTGACTTGGATGAAGATCGATGCCATGGGATGGAACAGTCGACTATGGCACTATTGGATTATTTTTGGGTTGTTCACCAGCTTAACCTGAGCAAGGCGATAGACACCACTCCCCAACCACTGGAGATGCAGGGATGAATAGTCAGACCGAATGTTGTCAGTTGACGTAGTGGAATACTTTTGTTGGCCTTTTGTTCGACTTCACATGTAAATGTAAATATTCAGGATATTTCAGGAGTATACTTGTCGACATCATCATACTCGGTCATACCCTCAGAAGGTACCAAGTATGGCTGACGTTCTCTTTTGCCGATCGCCAGGCGACGACTTGACGGAGCTGGACCTGGATGAAGGACGTGTCCGGGTCTTCAAAAGCCAAGGCATCGGCGAGGGGATCGTGGGGTACAGGGGCAGAGGTGTTCAATCTATGTTTTTGGCGCTCAAAACATATTAATATAAGTTCCCCGGTTTGTAGTAACAGGTGCCTTACTAGTAGTAACAAGAAGCTATTAGAAACAAGTGCCACGCTAGTAGTAACAGGTGCCTATGTTTGATTCAGGCATTTGCATAGTTCACCGAGACCGAGACCAGCACAGCACCGTCCAAGCTAACCTCTTGGCCACGAGGTTAGCTTTTTGAGGTTAGCTTCCAACCAAAAAAGGGACATAAGGGACCATGTATCTCTTTGATATATGCTCGATGAACTTCCACATTTTAAGCCTTTTTCGGTGAGGATGCTGTTGGTGCATCGAACACACCGGCGTATACTCCCCTCCACCGCCGGAGAGCGAGCTCGGGACAGGTCTCTATGAGGAGATCAGAGCTCATCCCATCGCAGTGGCCGCACAGCCCAGGGAGCGCTTCGAGGCGGTGGAGAACAGCGGTTTGCAGTTGAACGATCTTATGTTTCTTTCCATTAAAGGAGAGAACATATACATGATTCCATGATCATTTCCTGTTACAAGAAGCGATGGATTTAGTCGAATAATAGTGTGTGTGTTGTTCCATGATGTTCCATGTACTAAAAGAGCTCCGCTCCATTCTTTTTTTGGGATGCCAATACCCCAGATAGTGGTTCCTTCGGTTTGACTCTTATCGACGCCTTCACGGTGTGGCTCGTGTGAGGACTTCCGCTTCAGCGTGGTCTCGGCGGGCTTCGAAGAACTCGTGGGCTACTCCAGGAAGGAGCTCCACAACAAGGAGAACCCACAACAACGCGCATGGGACGTCCCTCCGCTGGGCTGTCCGAGGCCGAAGGACGTGAGTCAGATGGGCGGGTTTGAGGCCGCAAGAACCGATTTCCACTGGCGGGCCGACCCATGGGCATGGCTGCAGCCACTGGCTGCAGCCACTGGCTGCAGCCACTGGTTGTTTTGGGGAGGTACTCATGTGGAGTTGTGAAGCCCATGTGGACTCATGTTGATCCATTTTTGTTGGGCTCAAGGGTGGATTCTAAATTAAAAGAGTACCTTGGTATGACATGTAAAGTGTGTTCCAACTTTGAACCCTACTCAGAGGACACTATATAGTATAGCATAAAAAGGGACATATCAAGAGCGCCGATTTTAGGCCAAAAAGAGGTGCCCTGCATTTGGACCCAGTCGTCCGTTTCCAGGGATCTGCAGGGATCTGCAGCGCCGCCGCCTCCGTTTCAGGAGCTGGTAAGACTTCTGTGTAAAGACAGTCTTGCAGCCTTTCAGCTAGAGCAGCTCAACTTTGCCATCGGCCGCCTGGACGAAGCAATAGCATTGCAAAAGCTTTTGTGATCGGCCCCTGTGTTTGTCCATTGAAGCAACTCTTTTGGTGAGGCTCAAGATATGTTCATCGAAGATCAATAAAGCTCTTCAAAAAATCAATTGCTCTTCGGCTCTTTTTGCGGAAAAAGCACGACCATGTCCATGGGATTTTGATGTCGGATGCTTGTGACCACGCCGCGTGGTCTTCTTTTTCCGATGCCAGGCTCGTGCAGCCGAGTGGTCTTTCGCCGGAAGAGCGGCGACCTCGTGGAGGTGGTCGTGACCCTTCGCTGTGTGAAGGGCATTTGCATCTTCATGTGTGTGGAAGTGCACCTTGGGCCTCCAGAAATGGCGGAGCTGCGCTGGCTGAGCGGTGTTGGAAGGGGGGGTTCTGGGGCTTATGGGGCTTTCAAGTTGGTGGACGGTGGCGTGAAAGGGGGTGGTCGCCCAGCCACGGAGATTGGGGCGTTGGCATCGTACCAAATCAATCCCAAGCTGCTGATCTGGGTGAAGAGTGGGGATGTTAATTTAAAAAGTTGGACAAATGCAGCTTCGCTTTTCCGAACATGACAGATAGCCTGGATCAACGGTGACCCACTCAACCGCCTGGTCAACCGAGTGTGTCCGACTTTCTTCACATTGATTTTGTTCATCAAGGGCAACCATTCACTTTTGGCCGTTGGGGTCCGGGGGAGCTCAGAACGCTTTCTGAACACTCTGGGACCCTGGGACTTCGCGGGATGACGCGAACCAACCGCGCAAGGTTGGATGGCCAGTATGATGCCGCAGAAAAGAAGCTTTTTGAAGAGATGAAGGACATCAACGACGATTCATCGCGAGGGTCGCACTTGGAGGCACCACGGAGGTTCTACCAGGTTCTAAGGGTGTGCCCAATTACCAGTCCGTGCAAGATTATCATTTTGAGAAAGGCATACTCACCATCATCATCCACTGTAACTGGTAATATATTCGAGTTCTACTGCTAAGCAGGTGCACTTGGACGGTTTAGGGGTCCAGAGGTCAAAGTTGAGTGGCCTTTCAGAACGAAGTTTGGGGGCTAAAGCAGCAAGAAAGTTCCATCCTGAACAGTACCATCCTGGACCAGGGTGCTCTGGCTGGAAGAACACTATATATACATCCACTATCCGATATTTGCAGCCACAACATCCAGACATGACTGGATTTGACTTGTGTTTGGACTGAAAACTGACTGAGTAAAAGGTGACTCGGCAACGCCATGTGACTCGGCGAACGGTCAGGGAGATGTAGGACTTTGCGCGTCGGAGCATGTGTGCCAGGAGTTGCAGGACAAGGTCGTACGTTGCGCAGCCGAGTGAGAGGCTTCGAGAGGTTGCCCTTAGCCGGGTGCGACTGCAGACTCATCGGCTGAGCGAACTTCTTGGAGGGGGGTTGACTCAGTCCAAATCCACGTCATTGAGATCCCAAAGTCCATATTCAACAGGGCAGATAGTGATCATGCACACTACGGCTCAGCCAGAGCGCAGATCCACCTGGAGCTGCCGACTGCCGATGTTTCGGAGGTTTCAAGAGATTTCAAGAGAGAGAGAGAGAGCTTTTCTCAAGATGCCACAGGGGGTTTACTGGCTGACTTCAACCTCCACCCTTAAGCAGAATTCAGCTGCGACATTCCTTTCGGCGAAGACTTCCCTTGGGCTGACGGAACCATGGAGTGATTTCCCAGAATTTGCTTTTGCCAAATGGTGTGAGGAAATGATGGAAAATGCATCAATCGGCCATAATATCACCAACATGTTTGTGCCTCAGTGGGCTTTCATGGATTGCCCGCTTACCTATACACAATAAATACAATTCTTCAACTAGATGCCAGTCAATCCCCTGTGCCCTCGCAAGTCGTTTAACTCAAGGGTGTCACACTGGGTGTCACCTACCAGTTTTGCAGGCAGTGCGGCACCAGGATCCATCCCTAAAAAGGTCGTTGTCGATGAGATCTGGCTCGACCTTTGGCGATGGGCCCGGAAGGGAGATGCTCCTCATCACGGAAGCCGTCCTGTGAAGCCGAAGGCGTTTCAGTGATTTGGGAACATCTAAGCAGTTTTTTCCTCATCCGAATGTGTACTCTCCAAAAATGCGTCCTGAGTTCGGAACATCGAGATTGAACGCCCTTTGAACGCTGCCCAGATGGTGCCTTCTGATCCTCTTCCGAGCAGGTGACATCATTGAGTATGGTAGACTCTTGCAGTTCATGACATTGATGATTTGCAGTTCGTGGCTTCCTTGGACTGACTTTGGCAGTTCTGCACGCGAAAATGGCACACTCCACGTATCTCCACGTGCACCTCCAGGCGTGGAATCGCAGAACATGACTGCTCAATCGCACGCCGATGACCTTTGGGAGCGAAAGTTCCTGCACCTCGAAGGAAGGTGTTTGGGAGCGAAGAAAGCGGCGATTGATTTTTTTTTATGATTTTTGAAAACCTATACTGTATATGCTAGGCCAAGAAGATGAAGAAACGCGGCGCGGGGGAATTTTTGTTGAACCCGAAAGTGCCGGCCCTTTGAGTAGCGTATAGTAGAGTATTTGTGGATTACTTTCAAGGATCCAAGGGCTGAGATGGGCTACGGGCATTACTACTAGTAGCAAGAACTAGTAACAAGTGCATTGCTACTGTACTAGTTTGCAAAGGGCTCTTCATCTTGCCTTGCGCCAATTTAGATTTGCGCCAGATATAGCGGCTCCAATTCGCAGCGCCCGGGCCTTCCGGACATGAGCAACGTCCGACCATGAAAGCTTGGCCCAAGGCATCACCACCACACGCGGATTTGTTCACTTCTCCCCAAAGCATTCTGGCCAAAAGAAGACCAGATTCAACTCAACTTGATGTCATGTATGGAATCCAGGTGGGGTCGTCCATGCTTCCGTCAGGGGCCCCCCAACATCTCGAAAACGCGGGTGACTTGGAGATGACCAGGTCTACAACTGGACCTTCGGTCGTCCGATCACGCAGAACGACCGCAGAACGACCATTCAACGGGCCATGTCTGACAGGGCCGTTGAAAGGAGCCCTTGAAGAAAGATGCCCTTCTTTGAAGATTGCCATAATCTAGACATCGCTTGTTCAATAACCTAGGCAAGTGCAAACTGGACATGAACAAGTTTTGGTTCATGTCCAGTTTGCATTGTCCAATGTCCACCATCCTTCTTGGCCTTTTGATTCCAAAACAACGCTCCGGAACGGACACCGGGTTCCGGACACCGGCTCCCAGGTCTGAAGATGCTTCAATCCAACGATCTATCAAGAAAAAGCCGTTTTTTATTGAAGCAACCCAAAGATTGGTCAGTTTTTTTTGAAACCATGGTATTTGATTAAATTTGTATATATCTGTATTTCCCACAAATCCAGGCTTTGCTGATGTGTATACCCACCAAGTAGCCTATACAATTTCTTCATTGAACAAGGACTAGGACCAACGTTTGGGGAAGCCCCCAAGTAGACTGAGGTTGCTTTTTGAGGGCAATGTTTTGCCCAATTTGGAGCCATACCCACAGGCTTGTCTCGCAGAATCGGCTCTCTGGGCCGTCAAATGGACGGGTGACGGTCGCCGTTGCGTCACGACCGGCCTCCAGTTCGGGCAAGTTTAAGGGGTCGATCGAGTTGCGGGTACAGCGCTGACGTGCGCAGACCAAAAGAAGCACGGACATATGTCGATTTTTGCATTTGAGATGTTTGTTTGGACATCATATGGACATATGTGTTTTTTGATGTTTATCTTTTGTGTTTATTATGTAATGTATGTTTGTGCGCCGGTTTGCTGCCTTTTGCTAGTCGAAAAGGATTGCATTACACTGCATTCACTTTAAATAACAGCCCGCCTATTTCAAACCGGAACAGGGGAGGGATTCAGATGTATTCTCGGATGCATTGCATTGTTCAATTAATAGCATGTTTCATTTGTCAGATACATTTATCAGATGCATTCATTTATGCGCTTTATGCATGTAGTATCATATATATAGTTATTGTTTTTTGTTTAAAACCTCCCCAACACTTATCATCACTTATCCGCTGATTTCTATAGTGCAACTGATGCAGTAACCAGCCACCCCTCAAGAATCAAAATCTCAGCGGAAAACAAGCAAAGTTGTCCAACACCATCCTAATCCAATGCTTAGGTTGGGACTGGAGGGTGGTGAAGGTGGAATCCGATGCGTATTCTTTGTCTATTCTGTTCTTCCCGACGCGTCGATGCGGTCACGACTGGTATACAAGGCATTCTGCCATGTACCCGAACACATGTGAGAGGTCCACATGAAAAAAGCTAATTAAGACTCAGCGCTGCCGAACGTGAACTCCCAAGCAGCCGGCCGGGCGGTCGAGACCCCGGCGAGAATGCGAGCAAAGCGTATCTTCTCATCTCTGTCTATTCTGTTCATGTTCGGTGGTCATATCTGAACATGCACCTCGAAATGCAAACCGAAATGGGCCCACTGTGATCCTGTTCAACCAGTTCGGCAAGGGCCAGTGTGTAACAACAAACATGTTGAAAACCTGAAGGCGGCATGCCGCAGTTTGCTTCGAACGGCTTCGAAACATATGACCGACAAATGCACAAATTGATGCAATTCTTGGATGCATGCTCAGCTCAGCCTGGCCAATGTATACCGTGTTCATCCATGCTTGGTGATACAGGATCTTATGGTTTGTCAGTTACACGACGTGACTCTAGAAGACCCCAGGTTTCAAGGTGTCAAGAGGACCCACAATTTGCATTGCAGTGCCGCTTTGGCGCCGTTTTTGTTCGCTTGAAGCTGCCGACGCGTCGTCGGGAGAACTTACACCAGGGAGCTGAAGGTTGATCGAAGCAAAGAACCACTTCTTAAAGCATCTTAAAGCACTTGATGATACCATGCCTCAAATGTCATCAAGTTCTTCAAGTATCAGGACCCTTCTTACAGGGTTACTTGGATGTCCTTTTGTTGTCCAACTAAGTCATTACCCCAAGAATCCGGACCCGAACCAATGGAAAGGGTTTGGAGGGTCCAGAACCCTGCTATGCAAGGTCACTCAGGTTTGGGTTTGGTAAAAGGCAGAACATGGCAAAGACACTTTCTTTTATTGACTCAATACCTTGCAGATATCATGGACGTCGTCCATGACCGCATTGAGATCGGTGACCTGGAAAATCGGACCATGCTGGAGGGTCCAAGATTGGACATGTCAAAGGAGGTTGACCAAATTCACCAAAACGAGTTTTAGGCTCCCAGGATAGCTCGCTCCTCACAGGAGCTACGACGTAACGATGCGTCACACGTTGCAGCGTAACGCGTTGGGCGATGCCAGTGCCGGTCTGGAGTGACTGGTGCGACCCGTCGCACCAGTCAGTGAAGGAATTCTGAACACCCCCCTGTCAGTGAAGGAATGCAGACAAGCGGCGTAGAGGTCATGATGCTTGACGTTTTCATTTTGGCACCTATGGAATGGCCTCTCAATGCCTCTCTTGATTTTGGGTTGCTGCTCTAGCTACCAACAACCCTAATCACGACCCTGTTCAGTTAAGTATTTTTCTAGTAGGTCCACGGTTGCGTGATTTGGACTTCGGCCCGGCACCACCCACAACGCCCGAAAAATAGAACGATCCGAGAAGCAAAGCTGATCGGACAGACCAAAACAGATCCAACCCTGGACGCAAAAATCGGGACGCACGAATGGGCTGGGCTGGGCGTGGGCGCGCGCGGGCGGTTCGGAACCAGGTCACCTCGTGTTCCTTGAAAAAGTAATACTACATTTTGGATGGTGTCCTTACAGTCTTTGGTCGCAGGAAGGACATTCCTGCTTCATCGACGCCCCAAGAAGTCATGGAACACCACCATCGGTGTTGGGTAGTGATGAGAACGGTGAAGAGAGGTGGGATGTGATCCAAGTTCCTCAACCGTACAGGCTATGAGACACACCTGGGATATCCGGGGGGAACGTCTTGCACGAATGCCCCACGATACCCCAAGTGGTCGTGTTTGGATGGCGTTTGGGGTGGTTCATACACACCCCTTACCAGCAATTGGCACGGGTCTCTTGATATATGGTATGTAGTATGATCTACGTTTCCCATGGACTCTCGAGCGCGCGTGATCGTATGTAGTATGATGCTGTAGTATGGTACTTGTATATATTGCTAAAGCATATCATTGCTTTGATAAACTTGTTTCAATGCGAAGGACCCAAAGAACCATCAGAAAGAGGTTACATGTTTTCTATTTTTCAGTTTCTTTCTTTTGCTTGTTCCAGCCCTTGGCAGTTAAGGTCCTCAACATGTCAAGGAATAAACAGATTGCAAGCCACTTTTTGAGCAAGCAATCGTTTGTTTCAGGTTCAAGAAGTTCTAAGCTGCCTTGACGATGTTTGGATTAGAGCCGCTCCAACCGTCGGCGACGG